GACTTCATCCAATGCTTTCCCTACTGGTATCAGCTCTAACAACGAATCCTCCAGTGCATTCCCTACCGGTATCGGCTCTACCAACGGATCCTCCAGTGCATTCCCTACCGGTACCGGCTCTACTAACGGCACCTCCAGTGCTTTCCCTACCGGTATTGGCGCAACTTCATCCAATGCTTTCCCTACCGGCATCGGCTCTACCAACGGATCCTCCAGTGCTTTCCCTACCGGTATCGGCTCTACCAACGGATCCTCCAGTGCTTTCCCTACCGGCATCGGCGCGACCACCGTCCAGCGCGCTTGCCCTTCGGTGCGCACCGTCACCAAATACGTGACCGTCGCCACTGGTACCAGGACTACGAGCGTGTCGGGGACTCTCGTGACTGTCCGCGGCCCCCATTCCTCCTCCAGTGCCGCCGTGACCGTTGGTGGCCCGCAGCCCTCTTCCAGCGCCGTCTTGACGAGCGCTGTCGCTCCAAGTGCATCTGAGAGCGGCGTCCATACCACAGCTGTCGCCCCCACTGCATCAGAGAGCGGTGTGCTCACCACAGCGGTTGCCCCGACTGCATCGGAGAGTGGTGTAGTCACTACGGCTGTCGCCCCGACTGCTTCGGAGAGCGTCGGAGTAGTCACCACCCGCACTGCTACTCAAGTTGGGACAGGCTTCACTACCACCCAGGACGCCACGCCTGTCGGCACTGGATCCGTCACCGCCACCCAGGCCGCGACGGCTGCTTGAAGTCGAGAGGGCGTGGCAGCCTAACCTGTCGCTCCCTTCGGCGTCGGGATCGCAGTCACTGGCCTCGAGCGAACATTTTGACCTTATGCTCATGGGATTTAGGTAGTAGTACGGCTCTCCCGCAGTTCTGCTACCGAGATACATGGTGGCTCTCCGATTTTATCCGGTGCTTTGCTTTCGAAATGTCATGGTGCTTGTGTAGTGGTCATTCCTTAGGTCTTGTAACTTTTGGCTCTGGGATTACTGTCGTGGTTCGTGATACAAAGTGTAACTACTCTACATCGCGTGACTCGGAGGATACAAGACTATCACATACAAGATGGACTATTCTTTTGCCTGACTACTCTACTGCGATTCGTCTAACAAATTCTTCAACCGTTCCTGCACATCCTCGCCACACTTCCCTGTGAACTCCAGCCTCGAACTCTTCCACGAACCCTGCTCCTCATAGCACGCCGGCGGGAGCAGGATCGTCCCCTCCCTGTGTTGCCTGTACAACACAACATCCCTTATCGCGTCGAAACTACCCTGGTCAACCAGCGCCTTCAGCAATTTGACCGCCTTCTCCTCCCCGTCCGAACCTAGATCAGGCCAGATCTTGCACGCGACGTGGTGCACGGCAATGAGTCTGACAAAGCCATCCAACGGCCCCTTCACTAGTGCCCGAAGATACGCTCCGACGATCTCCGCATCCGTCTCGACCGGCCACAGGTACTCCGCGATGCTGCCCGTGACAGCCTCCTCAGGAGGCGTGCGCACGGTGCGCATGACGTGATTATAGTCCACCCAGAGATACTGGCGGTAGTCCGACGGGTAGCGCATGTTCAGCGGAGGCAAGAGCAGCCGCGCGAACAACGGATGAGCGAAGGAGATCGCGTCGTACAGCCCGACGAAGTCTGTGTACCACTGATAGAAAGGCACTCCAGCACCGAGGAAGCGCTTAGCAACAACGTCGAGGCTGTCCGTCGTGTGGATGGAGGGAGGAGGCGTTTTGAGCGTCTTGGCGTCTGCGGATGCTGAGAACGGTGCGAGGATCTCGGACATGTACCGCTCGACGATGCCGTCGCGGAAGACCTCCTCGGACGAGTCGTCCTGCTGCTGCCCGTGCTCGAGCATGAAGACCTTCATGCACCCAAAGATGACTTCCTCGCGGCTCATGAGGAAGCTGTCCAGGTGATGGTGGTGCAGGACTTCCTGGCTGACGCAGACGAAGAGTAGCGTAGCGCGTACGACCTCTGCCTCGGACGCGTTCCACGACGACGGTAGATCTTGAAATACCTCCGACTCGCCCGACCGCAAGAGATGATCCAGCGGACAGAACACCCAGTCCCTCGTCAAAGGTAGCGGTTGCTGCCTTCTGTCATTCGGCTGCAGACAGGACAAGGGTGGAAGACGTTGTGTCGTCGCGGTCGAGATAGACTGGGGCGTCATCCAGGTCGGCCCGATCTGCTGCTCTCCTTTCGGTCGCAGGGAGTGGGTGAGGAAAGGAACGATGATGTCCATGCCTCCGCGGTCCCAGATCTCCTCAGGAACAGACCATCCGCGCGCACGGAGGAAGTCAGAAGTGACTGCCTCAATCACTTGGGTCGCCGTCTCTTGCGCGCGCTCGTCGTCTCCCGGGAAGTGCCGACACAGAATGGCAAGAGCTTGGGCTATCCAAAGGTCCGGAGAGGTGCCAGGAGTTTTACGTGACAGTTGCAGATAGCTGGATAAAAGGGTCGACAACGGACGATAGAACAGATGGCCGTAGGGGATTGATTCCGGAGTGTGGAGGGATGTCCAGAGCGGAGAGGTTGTGATGGCAGCGCAGGCGTTGGAAATATCGCCGAACGGCAGAAGGAACGGCGGGGCGTCGGGAACGTCCTTGTACGAACCGGGAGTGCAGGCGAGAAAGAGACGGATCGCTGCGGCAATCGTACTCGCGTGCCTGCCGAGATCACGCAGCGAA